TTTGGGGTGACCTTGAGCCTATTTTACCTTGACAAGGTTCCCACAAGGTATCTCCAAGGTAAAATTTGTGGGTCAACCTTGTCAAAGGGGGGGGTAGCGTCCACCTGTGTTCTGGTGGCCAATAATGACCGCATGGGGCAAACCTACCCTCCAAATAGGTACGAATGGTACACCTCACTAAATATTGACGGGTGCGTCCCATGCTGTCCTCCTGCTCGCAACTTTTACGTATGTTTCTATCCCCTGGCTGCTGTGTCGTGTATTCCTTGCGTTCTGGCCGCAATACGATCAGTTCGAGGACCACCAAGATTTCAGGTGAGAATTATTTCGGGGCTTCCAGTACTGAGAGTTGGTGAGGTCTTGTTCCCACGGGTGTCGGGAAACCTTTCGACTAACTTACTGTCCCGAACAGGCCAAACTTGTACGTCCGTTCTACAAAACCATGCTCGAAAGTATTGCAGAGCCTCTTGGGGAAGAAGTCAGTCGCTGGTTGGAAAAGTTAGGAATACTAGTCTCGCCAAGAAGGGGAACGAAGGAAAATCGTCCACCTCGGTATCTAACTTGGACACGTAGAGCTATGGAGAGGGATAAAAGGGAAGGAAGTCCTTTTCGTCGTAAGAATACGTAAACTCAGAAGGCGTTCTATCGGTATTTTTGGCCAACAGTTGTCTGTTAGGTACTATCCTAAGGTTGTGGGTTGGTGGATATCGTGCAAGTAGCAGCTAAAATGTATCTTTCGGAAACGTAGTGGGATATGGGTTGTCGGGTGGTTTTCGCTCAATCCAAGCTCGTTGCAGATCCCAGAGCTCGAAAATTACATGTTTTTCCAGAAAGGGGCCTTTTTCCACAAAAAAATTCGATGAGAAACGGGATTTCGATTTCAGCCGAGGGTTTCAGATCTCATGACAACCACCCGACGAATTCGCCCAAGACAACAAGAGTTGCCCACCTTGGTGGCAGGAGAAACATCTCCACAGCATTGTCGCTCTTGCCAAAATCTGTTCGACGTGCAGAGCATATAGTCGTCTGTTCCGGCTTGTTGTCATCTCTAAATGCGGCAGTCTACACGCCTTGCCTGTGTGTCCCAAGCACAGCGTTAAAGTCGGCCTGAGGTTCACACAGGGATATTTCCTCTCGCAACGAAAAAATCGCACCGGTAGTTGAGAAAGAGGCAGCAAACAACCATATACCCTGGCGTACCGACGGACTTGCTTTTTCCGTCTTTGTCGCATTGTGTGGTTCAATCAATGCCTGTACTGGGCTCAACCCCATACTCCAACACCCCAGCAGAGTCCAGACAATCGAACGAGCCCTCCCTGTGCAGCGACGACGGTGCGTGTTATGTCCCATGCTCTATGTTGCTTTTTCAGAAAGCTCTTCGAACAAGTCATGGCAGCTTTCTTACGAGATGAAAACTGCACTCAGGCTGACTTTGCCGCCGTGCTTACGCGCGCTCACGCTGAGGGGGCACTTGGGAAGGAAAGTGAGTACCACGTTAGTAAAAGAGGTGCACCTTACATGTCAGGTATCTCGATCGAGCAGACTTCTCAAATAATGTTTTGGGTCGTTCCTGACTACAAGCAAAGGGTTGGCCGCATGACGAACTTGTTGCGGAAGTTTCACGTGCGGTTCTAGATGTTATGCTGGAAAGGTGTTCGCTGGGAAGCGAGGCGCGTATACTAGCATCATACCACATCTTAGGCCTTTCTCGCACTATCTGGCCACTGCTTCAAATATTGCTACTACAAGCCGATATTGCTGATACAGGAACCATGAAAGGAACGACACGGAGGACGTGGCCGCCGTTTGAAAGCACGCTAGAGCATCCCTGGTGTCATAGGAGGTTACGAGTGTACCGAACTTGGTGCATCCGGGTTCGTCTTTTGGTCTATCATCAATGCAAATACCTCTCTTTACGGACAAGAATACTTTCAAAAACGCAAGGCTCCCCCTCCCCCCTGCCCGCCCCCTCATTTTGATCGATGTGCATTTCGCATCGTGTGGTCTTGATCGACTGGATCATCGGGGTAGGTTTGGGCAGCCTGGTCATCGAGACCATGACGGCCGTGGATGAATTCGAGTCGTTCACAAATTTCATGAACAACACCGTGGCTGGTGAACACGAGGACAATAGCGACGGCGCACCCGATTACACGACCGTCCAGGATGGGGAAGAAGAGAGCAAGCGATGTCGACTTGAGAGTGACGGTAGCGATGGCTCCAACGAGGGGGCTGCTGATACCGCTGTAAGAAGCCGACGGAAGTGATTCCTAAGTTGCGGAACCAAGCCTCGACACCAAACAAGGTCGTGGCGGCGAGGAAGACAAGAGTGCAGGCATGTGGCTTGGTCTAGGTATTACGGACGTCGCGCGTGGATGCTGACAGGGATCTGGCATGAAAATGTGCAGTGGACGGGGAAGTGCTATTGAAATACATAATCATGGCATCGTCGGAACCAATCGTGGTACGGTGGAGTCTCCATCGTTTCTAATAGGTGTGGTTCCTCCGTGGTGGTGACTTCTAAGCCCGACCAAAGTCTTCATAAGACACTGCCATGGAAAAGAATTATACAACAACAGTCGTGGCTCAGATATTTGAGGGTACCTAATATGAGGAGATTCCGATGTAGGAAGGTCGAAATCGGTTGTCACGGACTCGACCCGCCATAATATAATAGTAGGGTATCCGGACATTGATCGAAGAGGGTTTCAAGAAGTATGCCAATGTGTTGAGGAGATAGCAAGAACGAGCACGGGTAGTCTATGCTCTTCGAAGACTACCAAACTAGGTGAACTAAAGACGCTTTTCTTGTCAAGACCCTCACAGTGTTTATGGAATCACGTGGCCAACATATAAACATTGCCCTGATCAAGACTTACGTAAAAAATACAGACGAACAACCGAAAAAGGGGCAAACATGGTCTTCGGGGCGACACCTCCCTGAGAGGCCCCAAATGAACCGTCGCAGTCAAAAGAACAAAAAGGGAGTAATGAAGCCAAGACAACATCCAGGCAACACAGAGAACCGAACACTGCAGAATACATGAAGTATGATCGAAACCTTTCACAACAGTTGATCATTTTCCTTCTGAGAATGTCTAACACAAAATCCTCAACAACGCACGTTTTGTACAACACTAACAGCCGTACGAAGCATTTGCATTGACGACATTTTCGTGAGCATAGAAGTATGACACATGTTCCGAAACGCCTACCTACGCTGCTGTGGCAGTAAATGCGGCGGGATTTGGTTCTTGGCGAAAACAACCGTTCTCGCACCTCAATGATGGTATCACCTCCCCACCAACTACGCGACCACCCGCGACAGTCACACCGGCTTGAGTCAAATATGTCTCATTGAACGAGCACGTCCCACTCCCGTCTCCAAGGAAAAGCAAGCATGATTCGAAGAGCGCTCTTCTCTGTGATGTGAAAGGATGGGCCGGAATAGCCGGTGAAAGTCCTTGGGACCTGCGATTCCAGGGTCTCCACCTTGAAGCCGATTGACCTACCCGCTACTGCATGACCTGCGAAACCATTCAGGTAGCCCCGACCGCATATATGATCCAACCCAAGGCTACCTAGCCAGCCTCTCCGGGAAGCCACGGTATTCATCGCGTCCTCAATGGTGACCCTAGACGTTGGACCTCTGGCCTCCCCAACCATGGCGATACCGCTGACAACCAACGCCGAGAAGGTTAGGTGCTCAATAGACTAGGGTACTCGTGACTAGCATGAAAACGGTCAAGGGATCCGCGCTCAGGGTGGCCACGAAGTACGCTTCGGCGGCCAGTTCTGCTGTGTAGGCTATCAAGAACCCTACGACCAGTAATCTCCTGCTCCAAACTCCCCCGAGGAGCGCCCAGTCAGCGTCAGCATGCTGGCATGAGCAGATGGAAAGGAATCCAAGTTGCCCGTCGTGGCAACAGCATAGAGCCCTAAACCGCCAGCTAGGGCTTCCAGTATGATGACCGCCATGGCCATTGCGTGTGACCCGGGCGGTAACAAGGAAACCGCGTGGAAGGGGTCGAAAGCTGCGGTTGGCGGGAACTTTGCACTCTTCACCGAGTACAAGAGTAATACCACCGATGCCACCACTTCTCCGACGGCGCGCTTGCGCCCTTGATCGCAACATAGGACACAACCGCCGCCGTGTTGGTAAATCCAAGTAATTGAATTACGGCTTCGACCTTCCGGACTTCAGCTGTCACCGCTTGGAACAACGAATCCTCTGCTCCCTGTTGTTCTTGGAGGGGCAGCGAGGGTTGTTGCTCCAGCAACCCGCAAAATCCCCTGACTACAGCGCACTTGAGGCGATCCGATGATTTTGAATTGACCACCCGACCGACCGGCGCTACGCCAAATGAGCACTGCTCCACAACGCTACCTCCGCGTACTCCACGTTGTCTGTGACGTGGGTCGCCAACTTGTCATCTACCAGGCTTACCCGATCGTTGACCTCGCACCTACGGGGTGCCGAGTTGCGAGATGACACTATCGTCAGCAGATCCCGGGGCGACGCTCCACCGCACAAGTTAATGCCTGCAGCCACCTCCTACCAGCGGATAAGCCGCAACTGCCACAAGGTCGCAACAGAGGGCGCGTTTCCCCCTGCCCTAAACATGTCGAGCACCTTATCCTTGACGCTGAACTGGTCAACCTGGCCACCTCCCTCGACGGATCCTAACAAGTCCTCTGTTTCTGCGGCGGCGGTCCGCCCAGTTGCAGTGGTAGGGAAAGTCTTGTGCGCACTGACGCCAGCACCCGCTCTGACAATACGGAGTACCTGGGATGCCAACGAGGACGAGAGTAGCATGACCGGACCCCCGGGGCGGTACGCTTGTCGTGTCGTGACTTCCGCCTGAGATTCTAGGCCGCCGTCTTCGGGCCCTGACACCGGCAACTGCACGGGTGCATGCATCGAAAGTCCTCACGTCTGAATGATCACGTGCACTACGAAAGCCGGCAACACCACCGCCACGAACGTCATCGAGCCAAAGAGGAAGGTTAGGAAAACGCTGCACCAACAGATGCCAAGTGCCGGGGACCCCGTAGGCATTATGGTGCCATCCAGGAACAGTGAAAGACTCATTTCTCCTGAGTTAGACCATGGACGACGCCTGACCGCACGGTCGACCATCTCGGCTCTTCTCCCTGCACCCGGAAAGTGAACGTCACCCCTCCCATCCGCGTGGAATACCCGGTGAAGCCACCACCATGACAGTCCGGTGGGAGGGAAATCTGTCAGGTGTGGGTTCGTCATCAAGTCCGCCGCCTTCCTTGTCCCTGTCGCCCCGCTGGTCGAGCTAATGCCTTCTTGGTCGTAGTACTGGGTGCGGATCACAGTCCCACCGTACGGAGAGCGGGTCCGGGTAATTGCGCGTAAGGACAGGGAAGACTATCGTCACCCCGACGGAGATCAACGACCATGGGGTTGATAGCAACCCCCACAGCCACGGCCCCACACCTCTTCGCCAACACTCGGGAAGACTATCGTCACCCCGACGGACATCAACGACCATGGGGTTGATCGCAACCCGCACAGCCACGGCCCCACACCGCTTCTCCAACAATCGTTGTTTTCATCCGGGGGATCGGAAACCAAGCAGCTCTCGCTTGCGAAGGATGCGTCAGCAAAGACCGCCATCCCCGACTCTGCCGCCTTCGCCGCACACTCGGAGACTCCGTGGAACACGTGCCGCAAGAGCAAGCTTTCCATACCAATACACCCCGGGTTCATCGCGAGGTCGACAGGCTCGCCGACTCGTCCCGCCACCATACCAGCTATGGCATTCAGTTCCGCGCCATCGTGAGTCGTAGTACTGGATAGCAAGAAGGGTGCCCCGACCCCACTCTTGGACATTTCCCAACGCCAATTCCATGCCCGTCGGCGCGGCGGCCGCAGCACAGGTGCTTCTCGCCATCTCGGGTCGGGCCTGTCCAGGGTAGACCAACGGCAGAAGCCACACATCAACTGAAAAAAAACAGTTTGTTTCAAGAACAACGTTAACTTCCGCTGAAGCATGTGTTAAGGAGTGTTGCTGTATGGCACATATAGGGTACACAGTCGGTCTA